TGGCAACATTGTAAATTTAACAAAACAAGCAGTTATTTCAAGAGAACTGTAAATTTAACAAAACAAGCAGTTATTTCAAGAGAACTTTTCCAAGCATAAAATCCTTGTTGTAAGATTTGTCCTGTAAATAGCAAATTTAAATGGAATAAATTAAATGTCTTATGAATGCACACTTTGAAGAAACAGGCCTCAGCAAATAACCTGACCACATAATGATTTTAAAATGGAGGCAACTGTTGCAGCAGACTTATTTCAGACAAACCTTTATCTTTTCACAAGTTAGCTGGAGATTGAACATGTTCACTGAGGGACTCTCTGAATGTCACCAACAATAATATGATTGAGTTATCATAGATTTTAAAGATGAATAATGGCTAGTTAATGCTCTGGACCCTCTAAATTCTCTAGTGTGAAGTGACAAGTTCTTACTTTTTTTTTTAACTTGTAAGTATATATATATAACTGTAATGAGAAAGTGGTAAACTTAATGATATCCATTCCCTAGTGCAAATGGTGTTTTAATACATAATTAAAAATTCCCAACTGGGGAATTGCAGTGATATGGTGGAGCTGTTTGAATACAGAAGAGTCATTTTTTCCTAGCTATTTATTAAGCAACCTAATCAACTATTTTTCTATTTCCCAATTGTTTTCTTGCCTGAAATTATAAGCTCATACTAACTTTCCCAATACTTTTTGTTAATACCAAAAAAGTGTTTTATTTCTAACAATGTAATATTTTGTTCTTTCCTAAATCTACCCAGCTATTAAACCAAAGCAAGCTCATTGTCTCATATGATTATACTTAGCCTCTAGTGAATTTTTAGACTGAGATTTGTTCAATAAAGCAAACACATTGCTATAAACACAATGATTATATATTTCTCAGCCTCACAGAAATATATATTCATGGTGCACACATAAGCATCTAAAGATGTAATAAAATCTCTTAACATATAATAAAATATCCAAATATTTAAATACAGATTCAAGTTTTTAAAATTCTTTTCCAACGTATTCATGCAAATTTAACAAACAAAAATTCTACTCTGTAGAATAAACATATTTTGCTAAATCAGTTTAACATAGACAAATAGTACGAGTTAAATTACCAGATAGAAATTGGGGCATGTCTATCAAATATCAGACAGCAGAATCATATCCAAGAGGAGTTTGGTGCCAAGTAATTGAGAAATTGCTTAAATGCAGTTCAGGCTTTGATTTCAGAGCAATTATCCAGAAGTTCAGTCCTGGGCCAATTACACAGTATCATGCTTGGAGAACAGGAAACTGCCTTAAGAGGAAGTTGTTACTGTCATTTGTAAACTATCTCAGACAGCTCATTTTCTTTGCCCCTATCTTCAATCCCTGACCATTTAGGTCCCTTTTTAGAGCCAGGTAAGAGCAATATCCACTCTTCAACAGCCCTGACTTCAGGCTCTCTTATTCACTCACATTCTAAAACTTCCTGTTGGCCCCGGAGTGAGGATTTATGGGGTCTTTATTTTTTGTAAAGGATTTTCTAAGTCAGGTTTACTTCTAGTTAAAAGTGACAGCAAGCCAACAGAAAACTAGTTGAGCCAAAAAAAAAAAAGGCTGGGGGGGGGGGGGGGGGGGATTTATTGGAAGACTTGTAATCACACACAAAAAGCAAATATGGCCCAGGGGCCAATTGGGAATAGAAACTTCAATGTCTCCAGAAAACACTGCATGTTTTCTATCCACATGTTGGCTTTATTTTCCTAGGAAAGGTTTTCCCACTAACAGAAAATATAGAATCTGGCAGCAATTCCATCTTCAATCTTTCATTATCATCACCAGAAAATGACTGACTCCTGCTGTCTCTTTTTCATGTTAAAAAACTAGTTTGTCCAGTTTGAGTGAAAGGTTCATTCCCAGACCCATCAGCTAGGGTCAGGCAGTGGGTAGTGTCACTCTGGACTTATTGACTCATCTCAGATCCTTACGTGTGGCTGAGACTTATACGAAGTGCAAGCTCCCACTCAGACTAGATGGCCAAAATGGGAGAAACACCATTTCCCAGGAGGAGGGAGTGAGAGTGGAGAAACAATTTCCAGAAAGAGGGAAAAATGACCGGGCAGACAGGCAATGACTGTTCATTGGGGTATATATCCAGTTGGCATATTATCCTTTCACCTTTTTGTTTTCCTATTTTCCCCACTAACCTCTGCTTTTGGTTTGTATCATAAAATTTTAAGGTCAAGGTGACTAATAGTAAAAGCAAACTAACCTGAGAAAAAGCTTTGTAGGAGAATTAACATTGTTTCAGTACTGCTACATTCCAGAAATGTCTTCTATAGTCTTTTCTTTCCTCCCCTAAACATCCCTGAAAAGAATTATCTTAATTTCCAGATAAAAACATTAATACTTGGGAATAATAAATAACTGCTTCAAGATGATAAAATTAGCAAGGGCTATGCTAGAACTGAAGAGCTATATCTATCCCATTGGAAAGAGGAAAATGCGATGGGGTTAGGACAATTTTAATTTACGATGCCAATTGTGAGGAAGTAGTGTTTGGTGTTCGGGGCTTATTTTTACACACATCAACCCCACAAACTAGACTTGCTGCTTTGCAGGGATCAAGTCCAAGAACAACTCAGGCCATGTTATTCCATTGTTAGTACAAGAAATTTAAAATAAATAATTGCTCTCCTTTCTTTTTCGGGGGAATCTATTTTACTCACCATCATAGTAGTAAGAAGGAAAGTTGAGATTATTATGTAGATCTAGAGAAATGAGGCCAAGGAAACAAGTTGTCCTACTGACTATAGCTCATGCTAAAAAGGCTTTCTCATAGCATTATATGATAAGAATACTATATCGGGACTTGGTGGAAAGTCTTTTAAAGAAATAAACAGAATGATTTTTCCTAGAATATGCATTGTGAATTAATGAAGGTGTTAGCCAGCTATTGGAAAATTCCTGGGCCTTGCGTTCTTGTCAAATACAATTGCAACCCCAATAGCAACTGATAAAAGATGATCATACATGTGAAAGATGAGAAGATATTCACTCTGTATCCACAGAATACAGTTGAAGCCCTTCCTTACATTGCACAGACCTTGTTCTTGGCTCCAGGCATACAAAGATGTGTCCCTTCTCTCAACTCACAGTCAAGTGGATGTACGTTGATGCACCCCTGAGTTCAAAACTTTAAATGAATTCTCGAGATAATTTTGTGAAGTGAGTACCAAGTATGCAGAGTGCTAGGCATGGATCACAGGCCACTCTGACAACAGGTTTATAAAGTAACTAACATCACTCCCATGTTATAGGTCAGTGGTTCTCAACCTTCCTAATACCGCGACCCTTTAATACAGTTCCTCATGTTGTGGTGACGCCCAATTTCATTGTGACAAATTGAACGTAATTAAAGCATAGTGATTAATCACAAAAACAATATGTAATTATATATGTGTTTTCCGATGGTCTTAGGCGACCCCTGCGAAAGGGTCGTTCGACCCCCAGAGGGGTCGCGACCCACAGGTTGAGAACCGCTGTTATAGGTGAAGGAACCATCTGAGAAGCAAAGATAAAGACAGTAAGTACCTGACCAAGGCAGGATTTGAGTCTCTCTGCCCCGTTTTGGAGCTCACTTACTTATCCTATTCCTCCACGCTCCCATGTTCAAACTGCAAGCTGGAGATGAAGTCTTGTCTTTCTCTTCCTCTTCTCCGCTTACACGTTTGGCAGAGACCTGGGAAATAAATCTGGGCATGTGTTGATTGACCCAAGCACTGACACCCACTAGAATTAATTTGCTTTTGACACTTCACTTCATATTTGTTCGAGCTTATATTTAATTTATGATAAACCTGTAAAAGAGCATGGCCTGGAAAATTGAGATAAAATTAGAAATGTTTCCCCTACCTAATTTTCAAGCCTAGAATTACAACCAAATCTAAAGAGACAATTTAGTTATTAAAAGAGTTCTGAAATAGAAAAATATTGCTCAATTGAACAGTAATATGCAAAGAAATGGCTCTGATGTAAGAATAATTTCTTGACTTTAACCTTTTATTCTTGGTACATTCTATTTTAACAAGTGTTACAGAACAGAGAGAGTTCATTCACCTGACACTAGCAGAGCCAAACACTAGACACTAAAAATTACAATGGAGAAATATTGGCTATTTTATTATGAAAGGCACCACCCAGAACGGGAAGCGAATGCTCAAAAGGCCAAACTCCCCAGTGGCGTGTAGGTTACAGATTACATAGAGCAAAATCACCAGACTGTGGGTTAGGGGGTCCGGGGTCTGCTGGGAGCTGATTTGCTGGGGGTGAGGTAAGGATAAAGAATCATTTTTTCAGGTCTTGAGGACAGCTCTGAGGTCTTTTCTGGAGTCCCTCAGTCCAGCTCATGGGAAAGTAGCCAGGGGTTTTTCCACCTTAGTGTTCAGGAGCTGAAACATAACTTATGTCAAGATGTGATCTTTAGCCTGCCAGCGGTTCAAACAGTGACACCATTGTCAGGGCCAGCTACTGTCTTCTGCTGCCTCTGGAGGTAGCTAATGAAGGGGAAAGGCTAGGTCTAGGATGGGTAGACAGTGAAAGAGAGAGAGTCAGAGACAGAGATAGAGATGATTTCTAGAGCTAGGATTTAAAACTAAATTTAATCCAAGTCATAAGGACTCTGAGCTTCCCAGGAACTTCTCAAATGATGCTTTACTGTATGAACTCTCAACTTTTTCTGTTTTCTTCAGGACATTCTGGTGTTACCTGGCAGTGTTGTTGATGTGCAAATCCTAAAACCCTTGATTAGAACTTGGTCATTTTTTATTTTAGCAAAGCCTCCTGATTAATTTATGCTTGGTCGACAACATGTACTGCCTATTTTGATTATTATCTTACATATAAAAGGTGGGTTTGTATAACTTTCAGCAGTTTCAAAGACATTAATTCTTAATGGCTTTCCCAGGGAAGGAGTGAGGGGTAAATATTATGACTTCACTGTTTTCCTCTCTTCAGTTCCCTAGGGGTGCTCTCCAAGCTCAGCATGAAGCCATAAGGAAGGGGCAGCAATTACATGGAGTAGCAATAACAGACCAGCCTCCTGGGTGCAAAGCACGGCGGACAGGGTGGGGAAAGAAGGTTTGGTGAAGCAAATGAAAATAGTGGCGGAAACTGAGTTGACCAGGGCTCTGCTGTCTTGTACCTGCCCCTTTGTTGACCATCTTGCTGCTGCCTCTCTGTTGCACATGTCATGTTGTGCGTGTTCTTTGAGGCAAGGACTGAGAATCAAGCTCTACAGTGAATCCCCTACACTCAACACAGTGCCAGGTACATGACAGGAGCTCTATAAATACCCAATAAATGCCTATTCAGTTAAATTTTTTTTTGGAGCTTGTGTTTAGAGAAAGGCACGGAGCATCTACACAGTAAATATTCATCAAATTCTCTTGTTTGAGTGACTTCCTGAGCACAGACTCAGGCCTAGAGAAGCACACCTCTGACTAAGCTCCATTCACAATCCCAACCTCCCAGTATAATAAATGCTCACAGGCAGCCCTCTCGATGTCCGATGTACTCCAGAAAAGGAGGTTGCTTAATAGCAATCAATCAAGAGCTTTAGGTCTTTGCAGTGACTATCAATGTGTCTTGTAAATCACTGGCTTTCAACAAATACTGCCTTTGACAAAACTGAGTTGAAAGTTCCATTTAGCTTAGACGGTATGACGCATATAGTAAATGTGGATCCCGAGTGCCCCTCACCATCTGTCTCATTTCTGGAGTGATAAGGAAGGAAATTGCAAGAGGGCATTGCAGTGGGAATCTGAACATCAGTGTTCCCCTAGATAGTAAAAAGGATATTACTCTGTGGGAACGCACACTATAGGAGATAAGACACAGCACACGCCCTCACCTTTGGCATTTTTCATTTAAACTTGGTCTCTTGATGCTTAGAATAGGCTCAACTAAATACACCAGAATAAAACACCTTAGACATTTGTGTCTTCAAATGTTGACAATGAGAAATGTACCAGCATCATGAATTTAGCTCAGTAGACTAGACCAACAGCCTCCACTATAACACAACCCCCAGGTCTCAATTAGTGCATTGTGATTGCAAGTAAGGCAGTGATATATCTATATATCTATTACAAAACCCACCAAACATATTTTTGCTAAACCTTGTTTAATTCTATAAAATAGTAGGTCGTAGGAAATTGTCTGCAATATAAAAATATATATAAAAACGTATTTATGCCCTAGCCGGTTTGGCTCAGTGGATAGAGCGTCAGCCTGCAGACTCAAGGGTCCCAGGTTTGATTCCGGTCAAGGGCATGTACCTTGGTTGTGGGCACATCCCCAGTAGGGAGTGTGCAGGAGGCAGCTGATCGATGTTTCTCTCTCATCGATGTTTCTAACTCTCTATCCCTCTCCCTTCCTCTCTGTAAAAAATCAATAAAATATTTTAAAAACTTATTTATGATAAGTCAGATGTAAAGAGGCAAATACTGGGTGGTAAGGCTTGTTTGTGGAATTTTAGAAGTCATAGTTATAGAAACAGAGTAGAATGGTAGTTGCCAGAAGCTAAGGGATAGGGGAAATGAAGAATTGTTAGTCAAAGGATACAAGTTTCCAGCTATAAGATGAATATGTTCTATGGATGTTCACTATGTTAACTATCCTATATAATAAAAGGCTAATATGCAAATTGTCCCCTCGGGAGTTCAACTGACTGGGAGTTCGACCACTCGCTATGATGTGTGCTGACCCCCAGGGGACAGCATGGAACAAAGGAAGGCCCCGGCCTGCAGCCAGAAGGCCCTGATCCGCCCTTATCGCCAGCCAGGCCTAGAGACCCTATCCATGCATGAATTTCATGCACTAGGCCTCTAGTAGTTAATAATACTGTAATGTACACTTAAAATTTGCTAAGAGAGTACATCTTAAGTGTTCTTACCACAAAAATAATAGAAAAGTGTGTAAAGTGATGGGTGTCTTATTTTGACTTTGGCATTCATTTCACAGCTATACATATACCAAATTATTACACTGTGCACCTTACATATATACAATTTTAATTGTCAGTTATATACCTTAAGCCTGAGGGGAAAATAAACCTATCGAGGGAAATTATCCTAAAAAATCTTATTGATAATGACACAATAATCTAAATTTGCTAATTTTACCCAAATATTATTAGTTCTCCAAAGAAAGCTTTGTATACAGTTGTTTTATTTCCAAACAGACCCATTCTTTTTGCCTCTTGTTTCCTGTGACCTTTCTGAACTGTTTAAACTTACAGGTCTTGTAAAATGCCAGTTTTTCTGGTGATAAATATTAGCTCCTATGCGGGCAGAAAATGACTTACTAGTTTGCAGGACAGAGTTATCAGCAGAATTGCATCCTTTTCACACTGGGGCTCATTGTACTCAGATGTACTAGAAAATCCTTTCATGAAATTTAAGAGACCAATCCTCCCTCAAGTGCTGTGTCCCAGAGACAGACACACACAAGTCTCTCATATGTTACCTTGTGCTGCTAATGCCTCTGCCTCGATCGGTGCTTCTCAAGGCAATGGAGGGTGGGGTTTGGAATCATACGGAACTTAAATCACAGCACTGCCACTAGCAAGTAACATGGTCTTGGACAAGCTACTTATACTCTCTGTGTCTCAATGTCCTTATCTGTAAAGTGAGAATACACAGCATCGATGTGTAGGGCTATTGCCAAGATTAATGAGCTAATTACAGCAAAACACTCTACATGATGAAATCCAGAGTCCTGTTTTTTGTCTTATAACTCTGAGTTTGCTTGCATTCGGTAATTAGATGTAACTATTGTATTTACAGGGCAAGAAATGACCGGAGACGTGGCTTCTAGCTGTGGGACTCCCTCACCCATGTGATCTTCCTGGCTTCCATGATTAGGGAACTGAAGAGATGGGGATGGGGTTCAGGACCAGTCCCTGACACTTAAAGAACTTAAATTACTTTTCTCCTTAGATGTTTTTATTCAACACACCTTAATTAAGAACCTTAGATTGAATCATATGAAACTGCCAATGGTCTACCATGGGTAATTTCACACATTTGAATGTAATGTCATGCTCCAGGAAAAGGGTTAAGGAAGCCAAGACTAAGAAAACAAACCTGGACTCTGTCCTCACAGAACTGATGATGCAGGTGGTAGGAAAACAAACAACATACTAACAGAAAAAAAGAAGTGAAGGGGATTATGGCAGCAAATAGCATTTACCCATGAAACAAACCCAAGGGGCAAAAGGCCAGGAGTGTTCAGAAAAACATCTCTCCTTATGGAAACCAAATGAATGGGTCATGATGGTTTGGAGGGTGTATTGCTGTAACAAATTACCACAAATGTAGTGTATTAAAACACCACCGATTTATTCTCTTACAATTCTGGAGGTAAGAAGCCCCAAATCAGGTTTATTGGGCAAAATCAAGGTATCGGGAGGGTCAGGCTCCCTCTGGAGTCTCTAGAGAGGAATTTGTTTCCTTAGCTTTGCCATCCGCAAGGGCTGCAGTCCTTGCATGTCTTGGCTCACGGACCTTTTCCTCCATCATCAAGGCCAGCAGCACAACATCTTGCCTCCGTGGTCACTTGCCTCTTCTGTTTGTCAAATCTCCCTCATATAAGGATGCCTGTGGTTGCATTGGGACTCACCTGGATAACCCAGAATAATCTCCTCACCTCACGATTCTTCATTTAATAACATCTTCAAAGCCTCTTTCGCCGTATAAGGTAATGTTCACAGGATCCAGGCATTAGGACCTGGATATCTTTGGGAACACTATTCAGTCTGTTACATAGGAGTGGAAAGCTAATTAATTGCAGGAGAGATCTGAGGGGATACAGCAACCTAAACTGAGATCAGCCAAATGCAGAGCAAGGAAGGATATTGCCCAGGTGGATGGTCATCACAGAACTCAGGAAACTGAACATTTCACTGACCTTAATAATAACAACAACATTAAGTGGTTACCACCACTTATTACTGCTTATTATGTGTCAGTACAATGTTAATATTTCACTGTATTATCCCATTTGAGCTTCAGGAAAACGTCTAGCATCCTAACTAATTTTAACATTTTTTTCATGATTTCAATAGGCTTTTATGAAAGCAGACACACACATGTGTACATAAACATATAAGTTTGATTCCATAATGGTACTTCATGGCCTTATAAAGGCTTTTTGTTGTACTTGGGATACAGGGTTGACCAGATAGCCTTGTCCCCTCAACATCCACAGTTGTGTGTGTGTGTGTGTGTGTGTGTGTGTGTGTGTGTGTTTGGAGGGAGGGATAGTATATAGATAATTACTGCACAATGTGATTTTTTTTTCCACAATAGAAGCAAGTATTGGAAACTATAGAAGCACATGGTGAAGAAGACAATTGACCCAGTCTTAAGAGATTTGAGGATGACTTCCTGGAAGAAGTGACTTCCAAAGTAGAATATAAAGCATAAGTAGGAGTTTGAAGACAAACAGTGTGGAAGAAGAAAATGATTCAGGTAGGACGAAAATAATTTACAAAAATCCAAAAGAGAACATGGGATACTATTGGAATTTTAAATAGTTTACTTAGGCTTCAGGCTAGTACGGGAGAGGTAGAGCAGTAAAAGATGAGGCCACACACTATGCTACAGGAAGATCATAAATGTTTATCTGTCATATTAAAGAATTTGGATTTTAGCCTCAGGGCGCTGGCATGTGGAGGAGGGGTGTGGAGTACAGGGTTATAACCAAGGAAATGACACCACAGAATTTAACTTTAGATCAACTTTTTATTGTGGAAAATTATCTTTATGAACTCCCCTCCCCCTTGTAAGCCCACCCTAAATAACGCATTATGTAAGTAAAGATAGTACACTGGCTTTGCAAACACAGCTTCTAAATGGTTCTCCTATCTCACCATACCAGCCATTGCACACTTATACACTCCTCTCAATTGCTCCTACAAGAAACTTCATTGACAATGAAAATAAGGTCAAGGGATCGCAAACAGAAACTGACCAGGATTTTTTTTTAAGCAGTAAGTTATTTTAGTTCAAAATAGAAAGTTTCCCACAATCCTGTCCTAACAGGAATTTCCAGCTGAAAGCTACTTCTGAAAGGTACCAACAATTTAAACATACACCTCCCTGCCCCTGGCAAATTCCCAGGCCCGTGTCAGTATTTTAGCCTTTCTCTCCTGCTCCTCGCTTTCCTTTCAGCCGACATAAACCACTGACCTTTACTGGTTCTTGAATCCTCCCTGGTCTCCTGCCCCAGCTGAAAGTAAATATGGAAGATCCTTATCGAAAAGAAGAAAGAGAAGCCAGTATTTACGGAGCACTAGTTCAAGGCATGTTAGGTATTTCCTGATATCTTTACTACATTCATTTTTTGTGTCCTTATGTCAACCCTGTGGAGGCAGGCAAAACCCTTATTCTGTACATGAGAAATTGAATCTCCTGGTGATTCATTTCTCCTTTCTCTGTGCCTGGCACTGGGACACGGAGCTAGAAGTTCGGGGTCACAAGGCGTGGTTGGGGAGGAATTTGAGGTCAGATTCTTTTGGCTCATGCCTTTCCAACTACATCATAAACAGGGCTTGGCCCCTGTTATCGAGGTCTTTGTTGTTGGTGCCAGCGTTCACACAGCTCGCTGAGTTTCTGGTTCCCTGGTTTTCCCTCCCTGTGGTGTTCTCAATTTATTACCTGCCCTCTCAGACTTTGGAAACTTCATATTACTTTGCCCTTGGGTGCCTGTAGCCTCCTGATTGCTGACTGCTCACCTGGGTACACCCAATTTCCTCTTCTGTCTGTGCCCAGCTCTGAGCTACTTGGTTTCAGTGTCTGAGCTCCACTCTGCCTATCAAAACCCCTATCCGCCAACCACAGCCCAACATCTTCCTAGTTTCCACACACCTGCAGAGCTCTCCAACTCAAGGCCTGCCGACCTGTTCTATCCTATTCAGCAAAAGAGCTTTAGAAACTACGGTCTGTGTCCTGCATCTCCTACTGTTGAGCATTTAAAAAAATGTTTAGTTATTTTTCCAAATTCAGTCATAAAAAAAAACTTTACAATGAAGTAGTAATGCTCTGTTTTGATCTAATTAAACCCAGGTATTTCTTACAAATTCAATGCAAGCAATACAATCTGGCTTATGAGTAAATTTGGTCAAAGAATACAGCTAGAACTCTGGCCTAGTAGTCCAGTTGGTTGAGTGTTGTCCCCTGCACCAAAAAGTGAAGGGTTCAATTCCCAGTCAGAGTACATGCTTATATTGTAGGTTCGATTCCCAGTCAGAGTGTATAAGGGAAGCAACTGATCAATGTTTCTCTCTCACATCAATGTTTTTTTTCTCTCTCTCCCTTTCTTTCTAAAAATCGATTTGAAAACATACTATATATGGACATATATACATGTGTGTGTATGTGTATGTATATATATATATGTCCTTGGGTGAGGATTAAAAAATAACAATAATAAATAATAAAGTAAAAAGAATATAGCTAGAGAATCACAAGGCTATAAAATCTTTGAGTGTCCATTTAGCTTACCTTTAACCTTGAGAAAGAAATATGAAAGAGAAAATAAGAAATATATATATACATATATATGTATATATATTAAACTTCAGGGATGATCTGTTTAGGGTATTCTTCATATAGGGCCATTCATACTGGAGCTCAGCAGATTTAAGAAAGAGTCTTAGCTCCATAAAAAGCAGGATTTGAATAATTTTCATAAAGGGAGTCTTTCCAGTGGCAGTTATCAACCTTGTAAAATTTAGTATGTAATGGCCAAAACTCAGGGCATAGTACTGGTTTGATATTTAAAAAATATAGAGATAAATTTTTAACTAATAATAATGTGTTTTCTGATCCAAGGCAAGATATGAATGATCAAATCTCATGCTTCAGGCTATAAAGTAATTACTACGGAGAGAACACAGTTCCTTTGCTTGTGTTGTGGGGTGGGGGGAAGAGAGAGAGAACGAGAACCGAGATGCACACTGAGCAAACCTATCTTCCTTCCCTGGAACCCTGAGCCATTCCAATTTTGCCACCAAACTGCCCTGACTTTGAAACAGAGGTAATATAGCTTTAGCCACAATATATAAAGGTCTGATTTTTGCCAGTCCTTTCAAAGTCTTTCCTTTATTTACCAAGGTTAACCCCTCCCTCTAAGTAAAACAAAAGTATTGTTTTGCTAGTTAATATAAAGACAATAACTGAATGCCTTTGTTAGTACAAAATGTTTTTAAAGCAGCGGAATCCTGGTACAGAGGCTCCTGTTTAAAATGGGTTATAATGACTTCATAGCAGTGCAGGCACTGTGCCAGGTGGCATTGACTTGTAACTCACATTTAAATCCGATTTGTTATATCCATCATGGTAATCCAACACATAGTAAGTTCATTTGTTTGTTTATTTTTTAATTTCTTAAGATTGTATTCAAACTAAAATGATAAAGCAAAACAATAAGCACAAAAACTTTAGTTTTGGGATTTTCATTTGACAGGCCCAGATTTTAATTTAATGCTAACCAATTACTAGTTGGATAGCATCAAGCAAGAAATTTAATCTGAGATTCTGCTGCAGATATTACAATAAGAAATATAAGAAAATCACAAATAATGATACTAACTACATAGTGTTACTGGGAGGATTTAAAGAAATAACAGGCAGTGTCCAGCATATAATAAAATGACTAGCAAATGATCTTATATTCTTATAACTAATATAATGTTCTTCTCATACTTGTACTTGGATTTAGAAATTAAGAGAAATTCCTATACTGCTTTCACCTAAAATATATATTTTTTGTGAGTAGCAGTTTCAGTAAATAGGAGCCTTAATACAGAAATTCCAGACTGGGTCCACTTATCATTATATCATTACTTAATAATTAAACCTTCTTATGCCATTGAAATCAGACTCCGTGGCTGAAAGTAAGGTTTCTAAGTTCTTATTACCCAGAGCGAGTTCAGACAATCAACAGCAGTAATAGCATCTAGGAGCTTGTGAAAAATTTATAATCTCAGGATTTTCTAGACTACTGAATCAGAAAATGCATTTAAACAAAATCTTCAGGTGATTCATGTGCACATGAAAGTTTGGGAAGTATTGTTTGAGTAGAGTGGCTCTCAGACTTTAGCATGTACCTGGAGAATTGGTTAAAGCACAGATAGTTGGGCCCAACCCCAGAGTTTCTGATTTAGTAAGTTTAGAGTAGGCCTAAGATTTTGCGTTACTAACAAGATAATGGGATGTTGTTAGTCCAGGGACCACACTTTGATAATGGCTAGGGCATTCAGTAGAGACTCTGGAAAGGTTATACTTGAGTGTAAGACTAACTAGGCTTAGAGTAAAGACCCACTCTAGACCTACTATAAGAAGGTTTAAGAATAAGCCTTGAAAGTATCGAATCTACCTGCCACAAGAAAAAGCTCAATGCTCCTTAAAGAAAAACAACAGTCGACAATATAACATTCAAAACGTTGATCATCTAACTAAAAATTACTAGCCATGCCAAGAAGCAGAAAAATGTAACCTTAAGCAGGAGCCCATCAACAGAAACAAACATAGACAGGAAAGAGATAATGGATTTGGCAGAGAAGAGTGTTACAACAGCTATTGTATGTATATATTTCAATATGCCCAAGGATTTAAAGAAAAACATAAACATGAAAAAAGAAAAATGAAAAATATATTAAAGAAACTAAATGGAATTTCTAGAGATGAAGCTAAAATTAAAAAAATGACTGAATGAGATTAGCAGCACATATATATCCAAGAGAATTAAAAATATATCCATACAGCCCTGCCAGTGTGACCCAGTGGTTGAGCACTGAACCACAAACCAAGAGGTCACCAGTTCAATTCCTGGTCAGGGCACATGTCCCAGTTGCGGGCACAGTCCCCAGTAGGGGGTGTGCAGGAAGCAGCCAGTTGATGTTTGTATCTCTATATCCTTCTCCTTTCCTCTCTCTCTATAATCAATAAAAATATATTTTTAAAAAACTTTTTAGAAAATATACACATAAAAA